ATTCCTGCTTCCTGCGGCCGGAGTGAGTTCTTTGACGTTCCTTGTCTTGACGCCATAAGCTAACCTGTCAGGAGCGTGTGCACGCCTCCATGGCACGGACCTGAGAAGATCTGTCAAGCGGAGTTTCAAGGAGGCAGTGCAGGTTCTCCTCGGGTGTGCCGCGTTGTCACAGCTTCCATTTTCTCCATTCTCCGCCATGTCGAGGTGCAGACTGCGACGTAACGTGACAGCTTGCTAACACTGGGCTTGCAGTGGAGATCAGGGCCGAAAGCTGAGGCCAATGTGCCCTTGGCGCGACCGGTGGTTGCTGCCACCACGCTCGCAGCTCAACCTATTTCAATCTCAACCTTGTCACGGTGATTTGTCTTGCGCCAGCTACGACTCGAAGACCCTTGCAGCCGTATGACTTACTGTAATTTGCCTTTGAAGTCGAAGCAGGTCATGGGTACCTTACCCGCAGACAGAGGACGGATGGGATCGGATCGATTCGTTTCCGATTCCTGCTTCCTGCGGCCGGAGTGACTTCCTTGATGTTCCTTGTCTTGACGTCATAAGCTAACCTGTCAGGATCGTCTGCACGCCTCCATGGCACGGATCTGAGAAGATCTGTCACGGCTTTCAGTTTGCCCAGTCTCCGCCATGTCCCATGTGCAGACTACCAGTAACATGACAGTTGAGCTGAGCGCCGAAAGCTGAGGCCAATGTGCCCTTGGCGCGACCGGTGGTTGCTGCCACCACGCTCGCAGCTCAACCTATTTCAATCTCAACCTTGTCACGGTGATTTGTTTTATGCCAGCTACGACTCGAAGACCCTTGCAGCCGTATGACTTACTGTAATCTGCCGTTGAAGTCGAAGCAGGTCATGGGTACCTGTCCCACAAACAGAGGACTGCCCTATCCCGGTTGACGGGATCGGATCGGTTGGTTTCCGATTCTTGCTTTCATCCGCTTGTGGAATCTTCCGGAGTGAGCTCCTTGTTCACGACAAACAAGCAAGCCTGTCAGGAGCGTGTGCAAACCTCTATGGCATGGACCTGAGAAGATCCATCCAGTGAAGTTTCAAGGAGGCGGTGCTGGTCGTCCTCGGCTGTGCTGGCGTGTTGTCACGGCGGTCCTTTCTTCCCATCCTCCTTGATGTCAAGGTGCAGACAGCGACGACGACGAAGACCGTCGAGTCTGCACCCAGGCCTGTCTCGATCTCCATGCTGCATGACAGTCGCTCAGACGAAAGAAAGATGATAGCGACTGCAAAAGAGAAGCCCACTGAGCACGTAACTTATTGACGAAGCCAGCCTAAGTTCGGAACGCTACCACTGCGTCAGCGTTGCAAAACACGAACACGGACAAACACGGACGCTCCGGGCAAGCAACGATTGGAACATCTGAAACTACGAGATTCGCCTACGACCAGCAGGGCGGCACCGAAGGGCATCAGACGCTGAGTTCAAGAGGATCGGAGCGAACATGGAACAGCGCGCACACGCGCCCAAGCAGTTGTAAGTGCTTCAACGTCTCAGCTCTGTGGGGCTTCTGCCAGTGACAAGATATTGATCTCTGTCCTAGATGCGGCTCGAGCGTCTTGCTTGCCGCAAATCACGACGGACAGAACCGACTGGTGCACAGGCCGGCGGCAGCGGCTTGCGCCGGTTTGGTGGGGCCGAATCTCGAAGTGCCTTTGCAGAAGGACGGCCGCGACCAGGTTACACTACAACAGCTGCTTGAAGCATGCTTTCAATGTCGCGTGTATGTCGCGTTGCAAGGGGGTCGAGAAGCTCTCAGCTGCGGAGGCACACCTGGAAAGCTGCCGGTACTAGGAACGTACGAGGTGGCAAATGCGCAGTGTGACAGTGTGTCTTTACAAGCTGGTCGCAGCAGGGCGACAGACAGGAGTGTTTGGCTGTTTTCGTTGATTCTGTCGCATCGCGTGGGATCTTGCCTCCAGGTGTGTGAGCTCCTCAAACAAGGAAAGCCTGTCTCTCAGAACTGGGCCACAAGCCGAAGTTAGCAAAAGCTCGCGCATGTTAAGATTACTCAAGCAAAGCACCGAGGTGTTTGCTCGTTGATGTGCGTGGCGATGATCGTGCCTCTGGCCACATCGAGGCCTTTTCAGCAAGATTCGCGGATTGTTGTTTTAGACATCTGGAGGGAGTACGTGTGGGTGTCTCTCGGCGGCTCCAGGGCGCGGTGCACGAGCCCACCCTTACCTTTTTGAACAGGGCGGGGCCGCCAAGAGAGGGAGTGGGTGCTCGGACCGGATGGGGTGGCATTCGTGACCGAGCTTGTGGTATCTGCTGGTGAGGTGCCGGAGCTGGTGGTGAAATTCTCCGAGGAGAAGCTCGTCGCCGTCAGCTCAGGGTCCGTGCCGGTCGCATGTTGCGCTGCGGAGCTTTCGCGCTTCGTCTGTCAGAGGCGGCCCTGTTCGAATCTATTGCGATGGATGTGACCACCCGTCTGCTGAGATTTTCCACTGCCAATATTCCTGGCACCGCGGCCCTCAGCTGGATGCCAAGTCTACTGTTATCTGATTTTGTGGGACTGATGTTGCAGCTTTCGACGGAAGAGTTTGTCAAGTGTTTCACACTTGAGAGCTTTTGGAGGGGCTGCAGGTGGAAGATGGTGGAAGTGAGTTTCGGGATAGTCGATCTTAGAAGAGACGGCAGGTGTGCGAACTGGTATCGCGAGCAGGCACCGTCCTCGCAGCTGGGGCCCCAATCTCCGGACGAATTTCGCAGCTCCACTTTCCTTCACATTTCCTGTCGTGCCAGCTTCCTGCCGGGGATCCTTCTATCGAAAATATTTGTGCCGGCTGCGTGCTGGTGTGGGGTGACTGGCATGGTATAGCTCCCGAGAATGACACAGTGCATCGTAAATGCTGACGCGTAGCACACTAATCTTGCTCCGAAATTGAGGCATGGCAAGCTGTGGAATTTGTGAGCTCTGTGGTTGACGCCATGAACGCAGTGTAGCATGACGCAAGTGTCTGCTCTGGACACGAAGCGAGACTGCATGCTTAGAACAGAAGGAACCACTCACCTGTCGCAGCATCGTATCGTACCATAACCTCCATGCGGTAACATCGACTGTTCACGGGAAGGCGCGTGGCCATTCTAGAAGGAGGCTTCCGCGGCTGGGAACGCGAGCGTTTACCCGCGGGGAGCCTCAGCCATCATGAAGGGAAGGATGCAGTGCGGCTTCAGTTAATGTTGCGCACGCGGCATGTCGCAGCATGTCACAGCCGTCCAGGGATGAGGCTTCGGTGTTTGTTGGCCCGAGCTTTTCAGGGTGTTCTGCACGGGGACGTGTGTCGGCTGGGCGACTGCAGGTCGTGTACGAGCAGCCCATGGATGCTGACGGGCAGGTTGGATGCACCTACATGAACTCGTCGGTGTTGAGACCTCATGTCAGCGCAAAAACAGTTTAGAGTTTAGGGCTTGAGGATGTTGAGCGTCGAGTGGCACATTGCTGCTTTGCAACGGGCCTGGCAGACCTGGCCGGTTTCAGAGCCAGCACGCCAGGCGAAGGCAGACGTCTACGCGCTCGCAGTGGGCAGGCAAGTGGCAGGCAAGGGTCTTGGGCCGGGTCTCGGCGCAGTCGAACGACAATGGATTTGCTGTGCTTGAACGTGTGTCGTGCCCAGATGGACAGACGGAAGGTGCTGACCCATGAGGCCGCAGCAGTCCTGGGTTCCTTGTATCATCTGCTTCGTAGGCAGGTCTGCATTGGCTGTGGAAAACCGCCTTTGCCGAAGCCAGCAGTCATGCGGCTCGCTCGGCCATCCTGGTCGAAGGAAGTCTGCGAAGCATTCCAAAAGATCAGCGAAGGAATTGCACCAATCGTCCCATCTAGGCTTCACTTGCAAGAGGTACGTACATCTTGACTCGATCAATACCGCCGCTGATAGCGCACCACAGCCACCGTGTTTCCCAAGGTTAACCAAAAGGAGTGCCCCTGAGCTTGCACACCCACCACCTACGACCTACAAAACGGCACAAGGCACTAGGAGGCATTGGTACCGTCATGTCAACGGGATCTTCAAGTGGGAGGTCGTTGATCATCGGCATTGTAGGCCGGTGGATGATCACAGGCGTCACATGTCACACTACTGTTTGTCTTTCCCTGGCAGTGCTGACCCCTGGCACAATGCTGCAGAGCTCTCGCCCCGGCTCGCAGGCTCTCTGCATGCCTTTGGCGGCTCCTGATGAACACATCTGGCACAGCAGCTCCAATGCTTTTTGTTTGCAGCTGGCGAGCTCTGTGACCGGGACTGGCCCTAGAATCCTGAGCAGATCTGGGCGCCCGGCACGTCCAAGTCGAACAGCTGGAAAGCACTGCGAACTGCAGCTGCAGCAGGCAGCAGTAGTTGGCTTGGCTATATACGTGGTCACGAAACATCTTTGCTGTGTTCAGCCAATCATTCAGAGAGAGCAAGCGCCTCGCCAGGAACTGCAGCTAATTAGTGTGCAACAGACTACTTGGCGTGCTTGCCAGTGACCCAAAACAGTGCCGATGGGTTAGCGGACTGGCTTGCCATTCTCATAGGCGCAAGTCCAACGTGGAGCATTGTGCCATGGCACGCACGCAGGCCTTAGCAGCATTTGGTGCAAGTCGGATTCGGTAGCAGCCAACGTGCCCCTCCGGCAATGGCTTCTTATGCGAAGAGCCGAGAGGGTGCACGAAGTGTTGATTGATGCCTGCACGGCCGCAGTTGGCTCATCCGTCAGCTCAGGTCTCATACTTCTGCGAGCCCGCGGCTCCAGCGGCTGTGTCTTGGTGCAAGCTCCCACGGTGAAGAGGTCTCTTCTCCTTGCTGTGTGAGGCGCCTCTCCTGTAGTGACCATGTCGGCGAGGCAGTGCCCGCGGAGCTGACTTCCTGCTTTGGGAGATGTTGCAGGTTCTGTTGAGATGGGTTGAGCGAGGATCTGCATCAAGCCGCGGTTGGCAGTGCACGCTGGGCATTGCCAATCGAATAGTCCAATGTAGGCTGCGGAATGGTTGGGTTCTTGAAAGCATTTCGTGTCTCGTAGCCAGAGCCCGTGGGAGCAGTTCAGATGTGGCAAGTCGGACATGAGATTTTTCCATACATATGTTTTGGACATTAGCAGTGTCAAACGGGATTAGCCAAGGACGAACTTGCCGGGGCGGGCTGTTGTTGATCCCTGGTTACTCTAGTTGCCGTTCCCAGCAAAGACCGCCGGGTTCTCTGAATGTGAATATTCTCGACGAATACATTCAACGAACAAGCAGTGTTTGCCAACGAGCCGAAAAGAGTGGTTCTGGCGCGCAGTTGGCCCAGTCTCTGATTGACACGCACGTCAGAACTGCTGCCAAGCCGGGACTCTGGCTACGAGGGACACGCTACGCAGAGGAGCCCTGCAGGCGCAGTCGGAAGGGTCGGTAAGAATGCAAGCGTCTTAGTCAAAATATCTCAAACCCTACTCATGCAGCTGCTGATATGTGACTATCAGTGCAATTCCTGGGTCCTCTTTCCAATCACGACACTTCCACACTGCAGTGCTGCAGTCCGAAGCAAGGCCAGGTAAGATTCGCCGGCCTTGCGGCCGCACACTTCGGCAAGCGTTGGCTTCTACGCGCAAAGTCCAGTCAAGTCCACTGGCAAGCACTTGCCAGTGCTGGCAAGCCCACGAAAGATGTTATACAGAACTGCCGCTGCACTGCCGCTCGACGCCGCCTCACGCACCGGCACCTTCCAACTGAGCGCACAGAAAACGTGCCGAAGCCCAGAAACCCAGCAAAAGCCGTTCTGAACCGAGACGAGGCCCCCAGCAGCCTTGCCTGCGACACGCCGGCCCTTCGAGAGCGCATAGCTGTCTGCCATCGCCTGGCGCTCTGGCTCTGAAAACAGGCCGGACATGCCCAAGCCCGTCGCATTACAGCAATGCAATATGCCACTCGATTTTCAACATCCTCAAGCCTTAAACTGCGTCTCGTTGCACATGCACCCCAGCCTGCCCATGAGCATCCATGGGCTGCTCGTACACGACCTGCAGTCGGCCAGCACCCAAGTAACCCTTGAGGCCATTAAGTTTCATCTTCGGGCAGCTACGACATGCTGCGACATACCGCGTGCCTAAATTACTTGAAGCTACCTGAAGCACCACTGCATCCTTCCTCTCACGAAGGCTGAGGCTCCCTGCGGGTAAACGCTCGCGTTCCCAGCCGCGGAAGCCTCCCTCCAGGACGGCCACGCGCCTTCCCGTGAACAGCCGATTGCATCAGGTGGAGGGCTCCGAGGACGAAGACGCCGAAGGTCGGCACAAGCAGGTAACCATAGGTAACCCATACGATACGATGCTGCGACAGGCAAGTGATCCTTTTCGCAACCATGCCAAGGCCCCAGCTGCATCGGAGGCGCCTGCTGGCGGTACCAGTTCGCACACCTGCCGTGACAGCCCTCAGGTACCGGTTCCCTTCTTTCGAAGACGCATGAGCTGCCGGCCACCAGCTTCTCGTTCCCGAACTTCTTCACCAGCTCCGGCACCTCACTGACTCACGCACATCCAATCCACAGCCAGGGAGCTCCGTCAGGAATGCCCTTTCACCCACTCCCTCTCTTGGCAGCCCCGCCCGGTTCAACAGAGGCGCCTGGAAACTGGTGGGCTCGTGCACCGCACCCTGGAACCGTCGAGAGACGGGACACACGGACTCCCGCCAAACACGCAGTGCAAAACAACAATCCGCGAATCTCGCTGAAAAGGCCTCAATGTAGCCAGAGGCACGATCTGCCTCGCGCACATCGACGAGACAGCACCTCAGTGTTCTTTTCAAGTCCTCGTTGCATTTGCACCCAGCTTGGTGCTGAGAGGCAGGCTTTCCTTCTTTGAGGAGCTCACACACCTGGAGGCAAGATCCCGGGCGATGCGACAGAATCAACGCACATGGCCCAACACTGCTGTCTGTCGCCCTGCTGCGACCCGCTTGCAAAGACACACTGCGCATTTGCCACCTCGTACGTTTCTAGTACCACACCAGTGGCAGCTCTCCAGGTGTGCCTCCGCAGCTGAGAGCTTCTCGACCCCCTTGCAACGCGACATACACGCGACATTGAGAGTATGCTTCAAACAGCTGTTGTAGTGTACCCTGTTCGCGGCCGTCCTTCTGCAGGGGCACTTCGAAATTCGGCCCCACCAAACCGGTGCAAGCCGCTGCCGCTGGCCTGTGCACATGACTTGTGGTCAGCCAAGAAGCTGGATGCGCATCTAGGACAGAAATCAATATCTCCACAGAGCTGAAACGTTGAAGTTACAAGTTCGATGAATTTGTTTCCAGCCTTCACGCCACTTGCAACTGCTGGAGCGCGTGCGCGCACGCAGCGCGACACTGAATGTGGCTTTCAGGCTGCCTGTTCCGTGTTCGCTCCGACCCTCCTGAACTCAGCGTCTGATGCCCTTCAGTGCCGCCCCCTGCTGGTCGTAGGCGAATCTCGTAGTTTCAGATGTTCCAATCGTTGCTTGCTCGGAGAGTCCGTGCATGTCCGTGTTCGTGTTTTGCACCGCTGATGCAGTGGTGGCGTATTCAACTTAGGCTGGCTTCATGACAAATGACTGAAGGTCATCAATAACGTGCTCAGCGGCCCTCTCTGTCGCAGTTGCTAGCATCTTTCTTTTGAGCGTCTGTGATGCAGCATGGAGGTCGAGACAGGCCTGGGTGCAGACACGGACGTCTTCGTCGTCTGCACCTTGACATCAGGGAGAATGGGCAAAATGAAAGCCGCAACAACTGACCAGCGCAGCCGAGGAGGACCGGCAGTGCCTCCTTCAAACTCCAATGGGTGGATCTTCTCAGGTCCTGGCCATAGAGGTGTGCACGCGCTCCTGACAAGCTTGCTTGCTTGTGGCGTCAAAACAAGCAGCTCACACCGGAAGAATCCAGAAGCAGAGGGACGCAGGAAGCGGAAACGAACCGATGCCGTCAACCGGTACAGGGCAGTCCTTTGTCTGCGGGCCGGGCACCACAAATGGCCTGCTTCGACTTCAAAAGCAGATTATGCGTGGGCGACGTCATCACTGCCAACAACACCACAAGATCCACGGAGATCGAGCCAGTCCTGGGTGCGGACACGACGGTCTTCGTCGTCTGCACCTCGACATCACGAAGGATGGGGGGACAACGTGTCAGCGCAACTCAGTGCAGCCGAGGAAGACGGGCACTGACTCCGTCAACCGGATCTTCTCAGTTCCTGGCCGTGGAGGCATAGACGCGCTCCTGAGGAATGCACTGGGGAAGCAGCTAGAAGCAGGCAACGTGGACATGTGAGAGTATACACCTGCACGCGCTCTGGGGTATGCACTGCCTTGGCGGGAAGATTGTGCCAGAAGGACTGACCAGGGATTCCAGATTCCGCTGTGAAAACATGCCACGCCGGAAGCAGCAGCTCAAAGCCAGCCAGGAAGGCGGGGTGACCCGCCGGTGTCGCCGGCACCGCAGTGAGTGGCATCAAGTGGATCCTCGCTTGACCCTTATACACCGCAAAAACTGCGCCATCTCCCAAAACGTCCGGTCTGCGAGATTTCGGCCCCGGCCCGGCCTCGGCCTGGTCACGACGGCGGGCGCCTCACGGTGCAGAAGAGGCTGAATTCACTCTGCAAAGGGGGACTTCCGTTGCTCCAAGGCACGGCCCTCGGAGCCGTGGGCACGTAGCAGTTCGAAACCTTAGCTCGTTGCTTCTAGCAGGCTGCTGGCCAGCGGGCAGCCGTTCTCTGAGCACTTGGTGCAATGGGCGGGCCTGGGCCCTTCACGTGGCCAGCCATCTCGGGAAGAGCACGTTGGCTGCTTCCAGGTTTTGTTTACATGTATCGCCAGGGACCTCAACCAGCGCTTCGCGCTACAGTCGCACTGCTTTCCCATGTATCTACGGATCATGCGGAATGCCGCGTTATGCGGAACACAATGGCTTGGGCCAAATGCTGCTCGGGGCCAGGGAGTGATGGCTTCCGCTCAGGACTTAAATTGCCTCACCCCGTGTCTACCATGCACAGCGCTCAACGCTTCCGAACAGGACCTCCCCCCTTATGACCTTATGAGTCAGACTCGCACCTGTGGTACAGTGGTAGCACAGATCGAAGCGGGCCGTTCCCGATCACAGCACTCCCCAGCTGTGCCAATCGCGGGTTTACCAGCAGCCATGGCAAACGTGTCAATTACAAAAAGCAGCCGAAGGCGCGAAGTGCGCATGTGCACTGGCCACAAGCTCCGAGAGAAAGCTCTCCTCCATTATTCAGCCCGCCAATGCCAATGGTGTGATATGGTGTGATGCACGGACCATCCGCCGGCTCCAATGCCGATGATTACCGACCTCCCACTTAAAGATCCCCTTTCCGTGACGGGATCAATTGGTGTCAAACACGAACTTGCCGGCTGGCGTCGATGTGTACCGGCACTTCCCGTCGAATCGCGATGGGCAGGTCCAACATGAAAATAGCTGAATCGATGAATGGGGGCGGGTCTGGAGCGTTGGCTTTAGGCAATGCACTTCTCGAGTGAAAGTCGTGACCTTCCGATGACGAGCAGCGCTTTGGCACAAGCTGAGTGCCACGGTGCTCGCACAACGTTAGCAGCCACGGTTCCATCCATGGCTACTTTCTCATGCGAAGAGCTCAGACGGTGCACGTAGTGTGTGATGCTTGCACCGATGCATTTTGATGGAAACACGAGCGTCAGGTTTCATTCTCCCACAGGCCCATCGCGTCAAGGGCTGTGCCTTGGTTCAGCGAATGATGATCCCTTCTTGACCCACCCTTCTGGACACTGAAGAAGAGCCTTGCCAGTCTCGCGCCTCTTCTCCATCTTGCATGAGGTGCCGGTTGTGGTGACAATGCCAGTGAGGCAGTGCCTGCCTTGGGACCGACTGCCTGACTGCCTTCTTTGAGAGATCAGTCCTGTTGGAGGGGCTAGAGCAAGGATCTATGTCATGCCATGTGCTGTGGTTCCGGCGACTGCGAACTATCAGGCCCAGCATGTGCGTCCACTTACGAGTGTTCTTTTGTCAGCAGATTCTCAAAACCTGGCCGTGTGCAGACCTTTGCCTTTCGATGCCATGTTCCGGCCAAGGCAGCATGGAACTGAGAGGGGGCAAGTGCAGTGTGGGGCATGTAGCGTGACAGTTTGCTGCCCACGCTGGGTTTACAGCAATGTGCCCTTGGTGCAGCCGGCGGCTGCCACCAGGTTGGTAGCTCGGCAGCTACGACTCGAAAATCCTTCTAGCCAATTGCCTAGGCCCTTTGTCCCTGCTCCTGCGCCGCCGAAACAGGACTGCCCAATGCTGGTTGACGGGATCCGTTTGTTTTCGTTTATTTTCTTTTGTTTGCTTCCATGCGCTTCCGGACTGACTTCCTCATGTCTTGACACAGAAGTATGGGACTGTCAGGAGCGCATGCAGCCCTCCGCGGCTAGAAACTGAGAAGATTGGGCCTCTGAAGCTTGAAAGAGTCAAGTGCAGATAGCGGAGAGTGTAGGGTCCTCCTCGGCTGCGCTGACGTGTTGTCTGTCACTCACAGCTATCCTTTTTCAAGCGCTCCGCGATGTGGAGGCCGGGTGAAACTAGGTGTTTGTGAGTTGTGAAACACAGTTTAAGGCCCGAGGACGTTTAACGTGGGGTGACGTGCATTGTCCGTCCTGTCCGGCTGATAGCGCCAGGGCAAGGCAGATGTCTACGCGCTCTTAATGGGCAGGCGCCTGGCAGGCACGGGTTCTTGCAGGGGGCAGGCCGCTATGCTTCGACGTGTGTTTGTGAGTTCACTTGGCAGGTGCGGGTGCGTGAGGCCGCACCAATCGGCAGTTCTTCGTGATTTCCTCTGCGGGTAGGCCAACGCCGGCAAGTGCTTGTAGATAAGATGTGGCTACGCGGATTGTGGGGTGTAGGGACTAGCAAAATACGGCAGACGGAAGCAACCACACTTGCGGAAGCGGACCGGCAGGGCCCTTGCGAATCACGCTGGGCCTTGCTTCAGACAGCACGACAAAACGGTGGTGCTGGTTGCACCAACTTTAGGCTGCAACATGATTGAGCTTTCGACCCTCCCGACTGTGGTTGAGGCTCCTCTGCTTAAATCGTCAGCCCGAGCTTGGCAGCAGACGAAGCAAGTCGTTACTTTGAGCCTGGCGGAGTCAATACCCGCAAGGACGACCTTGCCGCAGCGGGCTGTTACTCTGGCGGTCCAAGTCCAGCCTGAAAATACGGGAGGAGGGCGGAGGGCTTGTTCAGGGCAGCGGTTGTGCAATGGCACGCAGGCCGGCCTTAGGCAACACAGTCGACCCGAAACCGAGCAGCATTTTGGCACAAGCTAAGTGCCACGGTGCTCGTCGTACTCCAACGTGCGCTTCCGGCTATGGCTTCTGACGCTTGCAAATCATACATCAGCTCAGGTTTCGTACTTCGTGCTCACGGTTCCGAAGGCTTCAACCAGAAGATGACCGGCGCGGGTTGACCATGCAACGGGCCGAGACTGGGGAGAAGTCAAAGCTGTGTCAGCTTCGGCATGTCCGTCTCGAGAGCGACCAGCTGATTCACGCATGTCGAGAGTGCGCGAGACGGTGGTTAGCAGAGTGTCGTGCGGCTGTGCCGCGCTGTGCCTGGAGCTGAATTTCTGTGAGGCTCGGGATCCAAGAGCGACCAGACATCAGTAGACGGAGTGACGACCAGATTCACGCATGTCGAGAGTGCGCGAGACGGTGGTTAGCAGAGTGTCGTGCGGCTGTGCTGCGTTCTTTGTCGATACCTTTTGGGCTTGCCA